CTATGAGTAGATACATAATAATTAATAAGAGAGGTGAGGAAAGGTAGACTACAGGCTAAGGGCTATCATTTTATTTTATATATGTCTTGTTTTAAAATTTGCTACACAAGCCTAAGTTGTTTTTGCAATAAAAAAATGAAATAAAGAATTGGTATTTCTTTAAAAAGAGAGTGCAGATAAATGGCTGCCCAAAGTCATTTGAGTGTGACTTCCTGACAAGACGAATCACTTTTATGCCTGTGGCAGGACAGGGAGGCTCCCTGGCACCATGGCATGATCGTGAATTTTGGAGCCAGATTTCTCATCCCAGCTCCACACATTTGTGACCTTGGGAGTTACTTAACCTTGGTGAGTCTGCTCCTTCATGGGTAAAATGGACATCACTCATGGCTGTGGCTTCCTCTGCAGGTGGCCAGTATCATGTTCTTATAGCACAACAGGCTCCCCAAATTGGAAAAAGATCCAGATAAATTTTCAACAACCGGGAAAGTGGGAGGAATTTAGGGGCTAGAGACCTGACCTGTATAGTGCCTGCCACTTTCTCTGGTGTAAATATACCCACCATAGCTGAGTTCAAGCTACCAGTGCAGAGCCTGCTCCAGCTCGCTACTGGAAGGACATCAAAGTCATTTAATCCAATCTTCCACCTGGTGCTTGAGCCATCTCTACATTCATGGGAAGATGGAGCCAGACCAGNGCACTGCCTTTCGATTACGATAATAGGATTTCCCACCCTCAACAGTTACAGTAGGGACCAAGTTTCTATTACATAAAACGTGGGGGACACAATTCAAGCTTCAGCAAGTTTTGGGGGGACACAATTCAATCCGCTACACTGTTTTATTGCACACAAAAGTAGCCTGTGGAATTGAAACTATTATTGTCTCGATTCTACAACTGAAGAAACAGATGTTTAGAGAAGTAAAGCAGTTCATCCCTAAAGACATAAAGCCCATAAGTGGTAGAACTTAGATTTGGAGCTGGGATTTGAATCCAGGCTTAACACTTAACTGCTAGGTTCTACTGTCTGTCTGCAAAAGGAGAATGAGAATCACACACCCTACCCCTCGGTGCACCTGTCAGAGAGCTCAGGGGCTGGTTGGTGAGGGTTTGACACAGGTAGTCCAGATGGTGTGCTTACAAAGGGAAAACTGGGGGGCAGGGTGCAGGCAGAAAGTGCATGTGACACACGCACAGAGGATCAGTACCCACAGTAGGTAAAGCAGTCTTGCATATCACAAAAGACAATATACCAATAGAAAAACGGGGAAAGAATATGAACGAGCAACCAATACAAGTCTTATAAAGGATTAGCAAAAAAGATACTCAACCTTACTGATCATCAAGGAAATGAAACATTTTTAAATACCAATTTTTTTCAGCCATCAGAGTGGCAAAAATTTAAAAAGGTTGATGATAATATTTAGGTTTGGCAAGTATGTGGGGGAAACACTCTTGTATACTATTGATAGAGTATGAATTGGCACTGTCTGGAGGGTAAAGCAAATTGGCAATACCAAAACTTAATATGAACATAACCTAGATTCTCATTCTAGGAATCCATCCTACAGAAATATTCACATATGTGCTCAAACATACTTGTGCAAAGATGACTGTGAAAGCATTGTTGTAATCTAAATCATCAATAAGAGATTCTTTACATAAATTCTGATCCATTCATACTCTAGAATATTAGGCAGTTTAAAAAACATGAAGTAATGAA